GAAAAAAATCTCTTAAAACTTTTCATATTCTCATTTGTTTGTTTAATTGCATTACAGATAATGTTAACTCAACAAATGAAAGTTCTCACTTACAGTATTGTGTTTGATGATGTTATGTCTCTCTATATACTATACAGTATTGTTACGTATCCGGTCCATGAACTTCCGTCTGCTAGCCATCAGAGGTCCACAGCTGTTATCACTCACACATCCCCTATTTAACTCTCACTCTGATCCCATTCCACTGCCGAGTATTGTATGCGCTTATCGCCAGTAGTGATAGCTACTCTACAGAGCCCTCGTTAGCTTCCTAGCCTAGCCTAGTCTTGCCTTGTCTGTTTTCTCGGTTTCTGATCTTTGCCTGTTTTCCTGGATTTATCCCTTTAGTCTCGCCCTTTTGATTCTGTTCGCCGTTCGTTGACCTTCGCTAGCCCTAGGATTATTCTTGTGTCTTGTCCGCCATATACCTGTTTGCCATTTTTTAAAATATTTTTATGATGAATTTTCATAGATTAATATTTAACTTCTGGATCTGGGCCAAGGTTGAAATAATACAATTTGCATAAAAAGCATTTGAAAAGTAGAAAATGCAAATATTTGTTGATCACATGCCAAGATGAATTCGCCACATTAAAATAATTTAAATCGGCAAATCATTATCTTGCTGCAAACCCCCCCTCCAAAATACATACACTATAATAATGTTTTATTATTATGATTATTTCATTGTATTAATAATAATATTACGTTATATTATTGAAAATGTTATTCAGTTTTTGAGATGGCAATAATGAATGTTAATTTCATCTGATATGTTAAGCTACGCCGAAGGGGAAAAATAAAATAAATAAAGAAATGTGAAAAATGCTGCTTACAAACAAAGAAATACAGATACAAAATAGATACAAAAATGTAAAGAAAAAAAAGGTGACCTCATATGTTGTATACATTTATTTCAAGCCATTTGTTATACATTTAATTTAACGTAAATAAAATAAGGATCATTGGAGTACTATATACTGTTAGAAATTAATCAGTAAAATAACAGAAAAAGTACTGTCAGCTCATTACTACAAAATACAGGAAAAACACCTGTAAAAAATAAATACGGAAAATATTGTGCCCTATTTTCACAGATTTTTTTATTTTTTATTGTAGATCTCACATAATGGTCCAGCTCTAATCTGAATTGATAGGAATGAAGGCCTCTAAGTGGTTAGAGCACAGATCCACTACAATTCAGTGCCTCAGAAACCCAAACAAGCACTCACCTCCTCCATGACTCTGGCACAGGTATGGGAAGCGCCAGACGTTGCCCAAACCCACACAGAACCCCACGCAGGTCAGCATGTACTGGGCTTTGTTGTCCCACTTGGGTCTGTCTCCAGCCTCCTCCACCTCCAGGTGTTCCAGCTCATCATGGCTCAGGATCCTGTCCTCCAGGCCTGGGTTCGGCAACTTCAGCTTCATGATCTCCTGGGCTCCCTGCGGCCTCACTGTTGGTTAGCAGTAGGTATCTGTGAGTGAATCTCTGATGGTGTCGACAGCAGGGAGCTGTGGGAGATAAGGACTTTCTGAGTGGATGCAGTAAGTGTATGTAGCGAACTTTGACATCATCCCACCAGGCCAGTGAGTCACGGTGTGTCTTGAAGATGGGGAAAATGTCCTGTCAGCTGAATGTGTAAAGAAGGGCTGTGACTGGGACTCTATGCATGGCAATAATTAATGTCTTATCAGAGACTGAGAATCCGATTACATGTACATGTCTCTGTATACCCATTCTTGTGGTTAATAACTAAAGATAATGATCTTTATGACACTTTGGAGTTAAGTCAATACCCTTCAGTGTCAAAGATCCTTAACAGTCCCATCAGCACACAAAGAGTAGAAAATAGTATAATCTAGTTTTAATTGAGTCATTAAAAGCAGTTCACTTGATATTTTTGTGATTATTTCCTGTGATTCATGTTTGAAAACTGATTATTTGATCAAAACATGAGAAAACTTTGTTTTATACTTGCAATTTGTATTCAAATCACTTTTTTTTCATACGCGGTATATAGAAATGAAGGAGGGATGGCAACGTCTATTTCTTAAGTTTGTGGTGAGTTTGGTTTAAAAAAAAAAAATAGAAATGCCAAAATGTTTTTACTGATTTGCATCAAGTTCTTTAATGTGTAAAGGTCAAAAGTATAACACACACACTTCATTATTTCATCCTGTTTTACTGCAAAGATAAAGAGTGAAGGACAAATAAAAAACATAATAATAGACTCTGTAAAAAAGTCTGTAAAATGGGGTCCTAAGAACTGTGTTAATATGAAGAAATTGTACATATTTTTCAAAGGTGTTTTACCTGTATTTTACATTGTGTTGTATTTTAGGGTGAAAGGGCAATGTCCGGAAACTTAACAGTTAATGTCATAGCAGAAAATAACCAGTACCTTTTTCTTTTTTCTACAGTTAAATACAGTGTAAATAAAAATCAAATAATCTTAAAATTCCTTATTTTTTAAAATCATTTTCTGGATATTTTGGAATTGCTGTGGTGACTTGAATCTTTTATCAATATTAGGCTGATCTGATTATTTAATATTTTTACCCATAGTTGAAGAGATGGAAAGTTTATAAAAAGTTTACTGAACCTTTTGCACATCCGCTTAGAGCAAAGGTGTTACTTTTAGGAGCCATTATCAAATATTTCCTAAAGACTTTGTTTGATTAGAGATTAAGCACTACTGTAATTCAAATAATCAATTATCTGCTGTAGATAAGTTACCAATTAGTTATAAAATGGCAAGAAAAAAAGACAGAAAAAGTATGAAATTAATAAAAACACACCTACTTATATGTATATTTACTGTATATATAAACTATAAAAGTATATAAAGAAACCTCCTCTCATGTTCAACTGCTTTTATTTCTAGCCAATTTCTTTACTTATGTGTAAAAATTTGTTTTAACATAAAAAGTTAAACAACTGAAAATGAACATGTTTCACAGGCATTTGATGAACAGAAATGGAATAATAACAATATAAGTTATTGTGACCTTATTGCCACCCTTAAACTGTTGTCTAAAGGACTTTTCCTCAGGTGCATGTGCAATAATTGTTTATGGTTCATTAAACAAGTATGGAAAATTATTTAAATCAGTAAAGCTTATTTGGATTTTACAAAAATATCTTTAAAATACTGTATCCTGAAAGGGGATTTTTCTTTTTGGTGAATTGTGTTTTCAATTCATTTCATTTAAAGTAGTCACTTTTTAAATACATGCACAATTGCAGTATTGTATGTAATAATAATAATAATAATAGCCTACATCGCCTAACTGTAGTTTACTGGTCAGCTGCAGTTCATTTAAATAAAATAACCCAAGTGTACTACGACATTTGAGTATTATATTGAGAGTTATTGTTATTTTTATTATTATTCTGTCAGTAAATCTGTTTTCAATATTTCTGTTTGTTACATTGCCCCCTAGCGATAGCTGGCGGTAACACAATAACCAATGAAACTGATGATGAGCAGGAGGTTTTTGAGACTCAAGCAAGATGGATATAAAATTTTAACTGTAGTTTACTGGTCAGCTGCAGTTCATTTAAATAAAATAACCCAAGTGTACTACGACATTTGAGTATTATATTGAGAGTTATTGTTATTTTTATTATTATTCTGTCAGTAAATCTGTTTTCAATATTTCTGTTTGTTACATTGCCCCCTAGCGATAGCTGGCGGTAACACAATAACCACTGAAACTGATGATGAGCAGGGGGTTTGAGACTCAAGCAAGATGGATATAAAATTGATCATTTTGGGCTGCGTTTCCCAAAAGCATCGTCAGCTAACTATGGTCGCAAGTTCCATTGAACTCTGTTGTTAACGACGGGACTTGCGACCATAGTTGCTTTTGGGAAACGCACCCCTGATTGTTGTTCAGGCCATGTGCGTCAACGTTAACGTTACTCCTCCCAAATGGAATTACGTCAGCATACGGAAGCTGGGGAGTCCCGCCACACATGGGAAAGCAGCTGGAACGACCTGGAAACTCAAACAATAACATATAGAAGGAGCACTGGATAGAAAATGTTGCTGCCTGTTACTAGCGTCATCATGGGAGTGAACTCCGTTATATTTGCGTTGGACGAGATGAATGTCTTGCAGAGACACGTTTATGTGTGCTGGAAAATGCATATCCACCCAACCAGGGAAGTCTAAAAGTTGCGTCCTTATCTGACACTGAAACAGATTATTTTTATTCTAGTAAACATAATTCATGTTTACTATCAGTGCTGATGTGCTTTTACAACGAATAAGGGTGGGACAACCTTTCAGATAAAAACGCGAACAAAATTCACAGTCCCATTTTGCTCAAGTGAAGTTTAAGCAAGTGACTTTAAAATACGAACCATAGCGGTATTTCAGCAAAATCAGACCACAAAAACAAATGCCATGTTAACTATAGCCTATATTTTATTGCAAGTTATGGTTAATAACTTTTTTAAAGTTATGTTGCAGTTTGTCGTGAAAATCCTTACCTTAGATACGGTTCTATTCTGATAATAATAATAATAATAATAGCCTAATAATAATAATAATAATTACAATTGTTAATTGTATTGAATGTGCACCTGTAGTGTAGTCTACGTACGTCATCTCATATCTAAAAGTTTTTTGTTTTGTTTTTTATTAGGAAAAAAATAGTAATTAAATTTTCATTTAATTGTTATTAACATGCAATTGTCTAGAAACTGGGGCTGTCAAATCGATTAATCGTGATTAATTGCATCCAAAATAAAAGTCTGTGTTTACATAATGTGTGTATATATATATATATATATATATATATATACACACACATATACATTAAAGCAAAAACGCCGTTTTGTGATATTAATTTGACCACTAGGTGTCGCCAGAACCCCGGCTCTTGCCCTCATACCTTCACAGTTGTGACTGGAGGGAGTCCCCCAATCCCGCTCACGTACTGCATCGGTGTAGACATCAGACAGGCTGTAGATGTCCCGTCCCGTCTGCAGCAGTCTGCCTCAGCACCTTGCCTGCCCGACATGCCCTTGGATATTACCGGCCCTTCTCTTGCGAGAAACTACTGCAGAAATATAGAAATCACTAAACACTAACAGAGGACATCACAGTAGGACGGAGCGTACCTGGATTCTTGACACTTTTACACTGCGTCTGATCTAAAGGATTCTTTTAGTCGGTCTATACTTTTTTTTTGTACCGACTTTTCCCAAATCGACGTGCATGGATCTATCATGGCTACGCTTGCATGCAGGGTGCAGTTCTTAGATGATACTGATCCATTTAATAGCACAAATTTTCCGGAGCCGACCAGACCCCCACAATTCACATTCAGAGAGGATATTCCGCTCATCAATCAGATCGCTGGAGTTCACAGACTTCTGAAAGCCCCACACAAGGTATGACACCCCTAAAGCAAACATAGTTTTATTCACTCTCTTTAAATTATAGTGTTTATTAGAGATATTTACACCTATATCTGCTGCAGTGCACAAATGTTTTGATATTGCAGTATTTTTGGAGGGCATCATGCATTTATATGGCAAGCCTTTTTAACATTTATGCCATAAATCTTGTAACTAGCATCTACTACTAGTAGACAAGTTATTTTTTAATTACTAGTAAATACTCAAGTAATGACACGTATGTTAATGTTTCATTAGATACTAGTACCTATTCATTATTGCAACTATTCAAATATTTACGAATATCTTTTCCAGTTTTCTAATTGAGCAGACACTGGTATCTATTAGACTAGTAAACTGATATAATTTAACTATAAAATCGCCAATTTGACTGAAGAGTTGTAAGCAACAATTGTAACTAGTTTGATAAGAAGTGTTACTAATAGCAATTTGGGTAGATGAAAGTGCCTAATAAATAGGTACTAGTCTATTATTGCTAATAAATAAGTAATCTGTTCAAAAAGCACTTGGAATGCACACTCGTAACTATTGAAATAGTTACACGCAACAAAAAAAAAATACTAGTACTTAATGAGTAGTTACTAGTAAAACTGATATTTGAAGTATGAAGTAAATATAGATTATTTCAACCACAGATTAAGTTGACAAAAAACAGCAAGTGGTTAACAGAAACTAAAATATACTTACTTGTCACTGCTGGGATAGTGACTAGTAGCAAAATAAGTACTAGTGACTAATTGAAATAGACTGGTTACTACCAAATAATTGATAACACTTTAGTTTAGGGACCAATTCTCACTAACTAGCTGCTTATTAGTATACATATTACTAGCATATTGGCTGTTTATTAGTACTTATAAAGCACATATTAATTCCTTATTCTGCATGACCACATTTTAGATCCCTTAACCCTACCACATACCTAAACTTAACAACTACCTACTAACTAAGCAGCAAATTAGGAGTTTATTGAGCCAAAAGCCGTAGTTAAAAATGAGTTAATAGTGAGAATTGGACCCTAAAATAAAGTGTTACCGAATAATCACTAGTGAAACAAAAAATAATATATATACTAGTAACTTTTGGTCTAACTAGTACACTGTAAAAAGTGGTAACCTTCATTGTTACTTTAAAGAACTTTTTTTTTGTTGCTTTATTTAATGTATTTAGGTTGATTCAGTGATGGTAAATCATTTTGACTTGAATGACTTAACTTGAATTAAACCAGATGATAAATTTTTTAGGTTACTACTTTTCAGTGTAATTAGAAATATGCACAAGTTACGTAAAATAGATAGTGTGAAATAATTAATGTTAAAATGGCTTGCCATAACAGCTATGCAGTGCCATTGCACTCTCAGGGAGAAGTGATATGATGTCAGGATACTTCAATGCGTCTTGGGCTGCACTGCACCAAGGTCTGCACTGTCCTGTGCCCATAGGGGGTTGCTTGTTATTGTCGGTGCTTTCTAAAACACACCTTTTCAGACTCAAATAATTAGTTATGCTGTTCTATATAAATACAGTCAATAACAAAACTATCATAGCTGCATTGTTTAGAGCAGTCATGGGCAATCAATTTTCTGATATCATAGGAATGACAGGTATTGATAGTGTAGATATTCACATCCTGTCTCTTCTCACAGCCTGTAACAAACCTCACCTCTAAATTACCCAGCTCTCCTTCATTACAGGCATGACCCAAAACAACCGAGGTTCTTCAACAACTGTGTAAGATATAATTGTTGTCTTAAACTTGGTTCATTTCCACCACATAAACAGTGTTATCCTTTAAGCAAGTTTTAGGAGTGCTGTTATTGTGGTCTTAGAGGAATGCACAGCAGCTGAGTGCCATACTTGGGTGGACTGAATGGTTGAACATGCCATGTCCACATGCTCAGGAATCTACAGCTGTCACTGGCACTGTCAGTGATGACCGTCCAGATAAAAGGGTCCTCCAAGGGGCCGAACCATCCGGTTTGGTGCATAGCTTATTCATTGTTGTTTGTATAGGAACATTACTGTCATATTGTGTACTCAGAGCTAGGCTGTAGTTTCTAAACAAGTGAATGTCAACTCTGTGTTGCCATTAGTTGGTTTGTGATTGTTCACCAGGTAAAAGTTAACGTGACTCGCCCACTACCAGTCATCGTTGGAACTTTTAGTGCATCACAGCTGCTTCATTATGAGTGGACCTTTACTGTGATTTGAAGTACTGTCCTTTCCAAAACAAACATGCATGGAAGTATTTCTGTAACTCAGTTCCCATCATTTAGACGGTCCCTTAAAACCACTTGAATAAACGCTGAAACATATTCAACAGATGGATAAATAAGTCCAGATGCCCATTAGTTATTAGATTTTAGTTTTAGAATTGGAATTATGTACTGCTTTATACTTTCCAATGACCCTAATGACTCAGTGTCTTTATAGACACATTTCCTGTGAAACAACTTTAACTGTTAATACTGTAATCCAAAAATTGGTCAAAATGTATAAAGAATTATATAATTTGATCATTCTAAGGTCTGTTAAGGGATTCTGACATTATATAAAAAGTTTATAGTTCAAATATGGGGATCAAGGATGAAAAGGGGTTTTCAAGCATCAATAAATAACAGTGTAATACAGCTTTAATACCCTCCCATTTTTACATAAATATATCTGTTACCCTGAATGACGATGGGACATTATCTCACCCATATTTCGACATTTTATTTTCACAAAAGTTATTTGGAACTGTGCCCTTCTTTGTTTTTCTGAGCAAAAAATAATCATACTTTTTTTTTTTACCATGATTTACAAAAAATAGTGCAGCGCCCCAAAACAAATAATTTGTCATTTTAAATCTTAACCAGTCTTTGCCACTATCCTTCAAACCACTGGGTTTTACCCATTTATAATGTTTTAATAATTTAAAATATAATAAATTATTTTATATACATTAATAAGCACAGGTCAGAATAAGTATGCTGTTGCATTTTTACATAAATATATCTGTTACCCTGAATGACGATGGGACATTATCTCACCCATATTTCGACATTTTATTTTCACAAAAGTTATTTGGAACATTAAAGTAGACACGTCTCGTCTTTGACCCATATATACTGTATATGACAATCATCAGTGTGTGAGAGAAATAATAATAATAGTGTCTTAAGGTGTGCAGTTTTTTTGGTGAATTTTCACAGACAAAATCCATTCATTTCAGTAGGGAAGATTGTATGTGAAAGATTATTCCCAGGCAGATTTTGTAACAAGTTTAAGTTGGTCACATGGTTTTACCGCATTGGCCAACAGAGAGTAGCTTGATATGAAACTTCTGTGTCACTTCTGTGTAAGATGTGCTTTATTTATTGCTACAATATTGACAGTAGGACTTTTTGACGACATTTTGTGGTAAAAAAACAAAAAAAAAAACATTGTGACTTTTAATCTTGACCACATACTGTGTGCAATTCAGACACTGCATTTTACAGTGTCTGTCATTAGGTCTCACTCTCACCAAATACATAAATATTTTGTTCAAATCGAATTATCAGTTTGAACATGCAGCGTTGATGTAGGGCTGGACATGTGATGATAAAGGCATTTATAATGTTACAAAAGATTTCTATTTCAGATAAAGAGTGTTCATATCGATATCGGAATTATATCGTATCGACCGAAATTAAGAAATATATCGTGATATCAATTTTGGCCATATCGTCCAGCCCTACGTTGATGCAGAGTTTTAGCAATCATATTTTCAGATTTTGTGTCAGAAGTACAGATCTAGAGATCTACAGATCTAAACATGCATAATCAAACTTGGAGTTGATAGCTGTATTTTGGAATGACTTGCACGCAAACAGGTCCTATCATGTGAGATCTGGTTCACTTCTGAAGGCGGCACCAGATCTGAAGGATTCTTCCAGTTACCAGCATCCATTGGAACTTTGGGTAAATTTGAGTATTTCCTTTATTGTGATTTCTGAGTTGCTTCTATCCAGCATGGGATAAATCCTCAAGGGCATCATTTCTCTAGTGCATAAGAAGGTCCCAGCAAAGCTTTCGACTTCTTCCACACAATTCTCAGTTTAAAGGGGTCATATGATGCGATTTCAAGTTTTCCTTTCTCTTTGGAGTGTTACAAGCTGTTCGTGAATATATAAGATCCCTAAAGTTGCAAAAACTAAAGTCTCAAACCCAAAGAGATATTCTTTATAAAAGTCAAGACTCACCAACGCCCTCCTAAAACGCCTCGTTTAAACACGCCCCACATATCTACCTCACTATGTGGAAATATTTGCATAATGCG